TTTACAGTGCGGATGCTTTTATATATATATACAGACACTACAAAACAAAAACGGTGATAGAGACAACAACAAGATCTTGATACAGAATTCTCAAGATACATCAGACTTGAAACCGTAGTAAATCTTGTAAACCTGTAGTAAGATCTTGATCAAGTTTTTCCAAGGACATCAAGTGCAGAGGTATCAATTAATCTTGATCAAGATCTTGATCAGGAATTTTCAAGAAAAAAAATCTTTAAAGAACTTGTGCAGATTTTCTCTTTTTGCAAGACGTGGGTACAGCCCCTAAACTACCCGTACTCACTATACTTCCTCATATTCCTGTACTCCTGATACATCCCGTACTGCATATAGCTGCTGTAATTCCTACACTTCGTAACCTTTCTAGTCCCTAATGGTCGTATTATTGAATTGTTTTCAGCATGCAGATGGTGGAAAGGTCAAACTTGGCAGTGCATTATTGACTGCATCACCTATAAGCAAATTAAGAGTCACATTGATAATGTTTTTCCGTTTTATGCGAAAACTATTCAGGAGTATTGGTTAGTGGATTTTTGTAATAAATGGTTCCCATAGTTCCTGATATTCCTATAGTTGCCATAATTCTTAAAGTTTGTAGTGTTCCTGCCGTTTGTATTCTTGGTTTGTGGAATCCAAAGTTCCTAATTTTTCCATACTTCGCGACCGGAAAACTTCATTTGACATAACTGCATTTTTCCATCTTGGTTTTTCAATTACGTATAGGTATTCCGAAGCGGTCTGTTTTGCCAAAAAATCTCAGAATGGAGAAACGTCTTTCCCATTTTAGAATTCAAGTAACGTCATTTCTAATCTAATTTTTCCTTGAACGGGAAGTTTTTATTAAATCATATGATAATCATGTTTTGCATATCCTCTCAAAGTATTTCAATCCTCTATCAAATGGTATATTATTATTAGTAGAATATGTCTAATCTCTTAAAATGATTGAATTGTAATTAGCAGCCGGATGGTGAAAAACTCAAACTTGACACTGCATCCGTGTAAGTGAATTAAGAGTCATGGTGACAATGTTCTTCTCTTTTATGCTAAACATTGAATAGAATTCATTAGCGGATTTTTGTGTGATTAATCGATGATGTGGCCTTCCTCTACTTCGAATGCCACCTGTGAGTTTTTCAATAGCTTCCATTGTTGCTATACTTCGTATACTGTGCATAGTGAACGGCGATTTTTGTGAATCGATAAATGGTGTTAGCAAGAACGAGTCGAATTAGTTACACACAAAACCGAACTTGAAAATTCAAGAATGTTTATAGTCTAGCTTCAAGTTTCAATTCATAAATCTCTAAGTACTGACTAAAAGTATTTAAATAAAAAGAAAATAGCCTTGAAGAAAACGATACTTACATTTTCCAATATGAAGCAATGATGGAATCTCAAAAACAAAGGATTTAAATTGTGCGTATTTTGTACTTCTAATTGATCATGGACGCGTTCGAAGATTCTTTTGTTTTATTTCTTTTATTTTCCTAGAATATCATCGAAATTCGATATGAAAAAAGGAATGATAATTTCAGAAGAAATCGAAGCTTATGGCTGATGACTATGTTATATTAAACGAAAAAAAATCGTGTGGGTGCGCATTAGAATTGTCAGCATCAAATTTAGGCCAAATGAAAACGAACACTGACTCTCACAGCTGAATCGAAATGGGTTGTGGTGTATAATCTTCGAATGCGTCCATGATCAATTAGAAGTACAAAATACGCACAATTTAAATCCTTTGTTTTTGAGATTCCATCATTGCTTCATATTGGAAAGTGTAAGTATCGATTTCTTCAAGACTATTTTATTTTTATTTTTTAAATACTTTTAGTCAGTACCTAGAGATTTATGAATTGAAACTTGAAGCTAGACTATAAACATCAAGTATATAAGAACAAATATTTTGTTAACGTGATCATTCTAAAAGAGCATTTTCTATTTTCAACGGCAAAAAATCTTACAACATGCACGGCTTCATAACTTTGTTGACGTTCTGTCTTTTGTATTGTTCATTGACAACAAATGGAAAAAGTGTTGAATATCAATATGATATAGATGCCAACAATGAACCAGGTAAAGTTAACATATAGATTTAGATTTATTGTTATTTCACCATCGATCAATTAATGCGCTGAAAAACTAAACCATAAATAACCAGTCTCCAAGTAAAAACGTGCTCTCCTCGTTTTTCTTCGCGTTTATTATAATATCATTTTACTTTCAAATACCATAGGTTAGGAAGGGCAAGATGTAACGGTATAGACTAATCACAGTCTTCATTCTTACTCAACAGTATTCTTTATAAGAACTGTAATTAAAAGTCATTGTGCTAGTGGCGATAATGAATGTGACTGAGTCTCGGGCTTGAGACCAACAGCAGTGTAGAACTCATGCGAACTTTGACTTTTGAATCAATACAAAAGTATCAGTTCACTCTCACCTCGAGATACGAGTGTGCAAGGGGGAAACGGCGGATCCCGGTATCCCGGATACGTTGGGGATATTATGGGGATACCAGGGTCCACCGTTTCCCCCTTGCGAGTGTGTGCCTCGATTTGAGATGGTTCAAGATATTGTGGCATCTTCACTTTCAAAATTCGAAAATTCGAATCGAGTTTACGAGCTCGACATGTATGAAGTTTTCAGTGTTATAAGCACGGAAGGAGCATACTAGTAATTGTTACAAATTCCGAAACAATTTTTGAAAAATAGTGCACGCTTGATTGAAAACAAAATCGAACTAATTATATCCATTGTTACCGGTTTTTTGCTTCTTCTTCTCATTCAAAGTTAATGCAGGACAAGAACCGTTATTTTATGGTATGGATGCAAAAGAAAAGGAAATATTTACACTTATTAATGCTCATCGTCAAAGATATGGTTTATCATTACTTCAACCATCTGTTAATCTTGCTCATGTTGCTTACACGCATGCCATTGATATTATTGACAATAGTCCGGATGTTAACGGTGGTAATATGCATAGTTGGAGTAATAAAGGAAAATGGAAACCAGTTACATATACATCTGATCATAGATATGCTCACTTGATGTGGAGTAAACCATCTGAAATTAGTAATTATAAATTCAATGGCTTTGAAATATCATTTGGATATGCACAAAATGTAAGAAAAACAATGACAGTTGATCCTACTGTAGCTGTTAATAGTTGGAAAAACAGTCCAGGACATAACGATGTTATGATCCAACAAGGTAGTTTTGCAAGTACACCAATGAAAGCAATGGGTGTTGGTGTTTATAAAGGATATGCATGTGTATGGTTTGGCCAACAATTGGATACATATCCGGCTCCTTCATAAATATTTAAATTCTATTCTAAATGCGCATGTTATTCTATAAGGTGCAATAAATAAAAAATATATAATAACAATTGTCTATTCTTTTTACACCATACAATGAAATGAAATTTTTCATAGTATGGAAAAGATTTTCATTTTCGTGATGGACTTATCAAGTGTAAAATATTGTTAAAATGTTTTATTTGAATGGATCTAAAATCGAATATTTGAAAAAAAGGAGTTGAATAAGCCGTATATCGGATTGCGGTGGTCGCTTTAAGTAGCATCTAGCAATTCATAGAATTTTCCTTTGAATTTTAAAGTTCGGTTTTGTGTGTAACCAATTCGACTCGTTCTTGCTAACACCATTTATCGATTCACAAAAATCGCCGTTCACTACGCACAGTATAACGATTATATGCAATGATGACGATACACACTTCGAGTCAATGTCTTATGTTGTTTTTAGCCGTAAATTGATTGCTACACGTCGAGACTGAATTTATTGTTAAGTGTAATGTTTTGTCTAGAATAGTAGGCAAAGTAGCGATTAGAAGTCACATTGGAGTCGCATGAAAGATGTGTGAATGAGAAAGACACTTATTAGTCACATCATCCCGTCTTCCATGTGCCTCTAAGTTTTTAGTCGAAGTCTCACACGAAATTTTAACGTAAGAGGCTAATATGACTAATAACTAATGTGCCTGTGTGATTCAGTGGTGAACACATTCGTCTCGTAAGCGAATAGTTCGAGTTCAATTCTTGACAGGGACAAAAGAATTTTTAACGCGTCTATTCCAGAAGACACATCAAAAGGACTTTAAGAACACGCTAAAATACGACTAAAGAGGATCCGACTTACGTGTCTTTAATACGACTAGAGACGCTATTAAGTGACTACTAGGTAAAGTCGCATCATGTGTCTTCAAAGGAGACACTAAAATGTGACTTTTTGGGATCCGACTTATGTGTCTTCCTAGAACTCGCATTTATTTTGGGGTGTAGGAACACCTGTTAGGGTAGACACTTTTTTTCCTATTCTTTAACAGCTGATATCTGGTTCTATAAATACAAAAAAAAGAAATGGCGCTCCTTCTAATAAGAAAATAACTTCAACACTAACTCAGTCATTCTCTACTCACGAAAATGTCTACTAAAATTTGCGAAAATGGCAAATTTCAACCTTGTAACTGTGGCTGTGGCTTTCACCTGCTTCTTCATACACCTATATATGATGCACACGCTCACTATAAGGTCTTTCGTAATTATGGCTTAGATTGTGAATTATTTTTTTAATAGATTAGAAAACTCATCTATTCGTAAACTCATAATTATCAATAATAATCATAAATTTACCAGATGGGATGCTGTCGAACCTTGTCTACACAAAAACTTAACTGTTTATAACACCTATTCTATTTATCCTAAATTTCTTCAATCATTTCATCCTGTGGCACTGTACAACTAGTTCATTCGACTTAACAGTCTTGTCCAATTATTTAAAGAAATTTAAAAATGCATTTATTTCACTCAATTAACGAAGACTTAGATAAACAAAAGTATTTTCAAAATTGGCTTAAAAAAATCAAAATGATATATTAGAAAGGTTTGTAATCGAAACCGATTTCCCTTTTTTTGAGAGCATTCGATATTGAAGAAGCACACTATAATCCATTTACTGGCATCGTCCGCACTACTATATTCCTTACCGACACTCTTAGAAAAGCAGGTCTACATCCAAGTAAAAGCATTGAACTTTCTAATTATAATGTTTATCGTCTCTTCAATATTGAGTAAAAGTCTGTGTTTGAGTTATATATGGTGGCAGAGAAAGTTCTCAAGTTTTTTGTGGTTTTGTTGAAGATGATATATTATTTTTCATTTTTATCTTATCCAGTATATTCAGCCACAGCTAACAGTTTGAACAAAACCACTACCTTATATAACAGTGGTAGAACTATTGTCTCATTCTGTTCGTATTAGAATATAAGGCACATGCGCAAATTAATTCTGACAAAGGGATAGTATTATGCATAGTTTGCATATTATGTCATCAAATTTCTACGGTTTAAGAAAAAATGTATGCATGCACGCATGACATGAGAACGAAAAATATAGGCGACATACACCATTATCACGACAGTAGTTCAATATTGACAGACAGAAAGATAGAGAAAATGTATACGTCATACCATAATAAAAAAAATTTATCCTATCTTAGATAATCGTACTTAATCTTTATTAGAAACTACTTAGTAGTAATGATTTTTACTTAGCGATTTTGTTTAATAACTATGATTTCAATTTATTAACTAAGCAAGAAAAGAATTTTCCTTGGATATTAGTTATCTAACTTAGCAAATATTTTTATTGCTGAGAAACTATAAATTAACTGAGCGTTCAACATTGTCAGTTAGCACTCAATTTATTTACTGAACAAACACAAAGTTTACTTAGCAAAAATTAACTTAGCATTTATATATTCTTACTTAGCACTTAAATAGATGCCCTGTGAAAATACAGTCTCGTATACGGTGCCGTATTACTGTTCCCAATATTACGAGAAAATACAGTCTGTTTACGGTGTGGTATAAAGCAAATTTACGGTGCAAATACGGATAGCTGTATCGATTGACGTGGGTTCTTCAGAAAACAAAAATCTGCATTTGTCGCAAATAGAGATCAAATAAATTTACGCATTTTCTGAAAAATTGCAAAATAAAATTCTCTCAAATCTGAAGAACAAAATTTCGTTCCTCAGTTTTGAATCTCTGTTTGGGATACTTGTTCTCCGAAGAACATGTTTTTGGGAACTTCCGAAAAATTGAAAAACACGTTTTGGTTCTTCAACGGCAGCGTTACTTTTAGTTAATTAATTTTGAAAGATGAAACTGCAGCTTTTCTCATGAATTGTAGAGTCCAATACTACCCTTTGATTCGTTAGTTATGACTCGAGCGTATGTGTACATTTAAAGCAATGTGCATATCTGAGCCTTAGAGAATTGGAACGACAGAGGCCAGTTGACCTAGTTAGCAGTCTGCACCAGTTGAATTATTTGATCCGACAGGTATTTTTGCCGGTTTACGCCGAATGAACTGTTTAAAAAAATTAATATTTTTGATAAAAAGGAAATTAAAACAGTTAAAAGAAGCCAGCTTAGATGGAAGGGTCCTCGTTCTAACCGGGAAAAACGTCACCATTAAAATATGCTGTATCTTATATTTAGTAATTGCCACTAGAAGCACTTCTTTTCTAACAAAAAGAAAGTGATTTTTTGCTGATTGAGAAGGAACTGGATGGGTTAAATGGTCAGTTTTTACCGGTTAAAATTGCTTTTTCGGAGACTCATTGCTGGTCATCCCGGTCCGGTTCAAAAATTCTCAATCAATTCCAACTCTGAAGGCCTCTTAGGTGGAGAAGTGATATAAAAACGAGTAAAAGTCCACATTAGTGAATAAATACGTTTAAACAGATAAACGCCCTAAAAACAAAGTTTCGATATTATCTAAAATGTGAAAACGGTTATCTGATCTCGAAGTTAGATAGACATTTTTTATTCGAAATCTGCATCATCTAAGTGAGAAACGCTTTACTGTACTCAAATTAGATTCCATCCTATCCAGGAGAAAGTTCCCATCAGCTTTCTGGCGTGGCAAGAGAAGAAAAAATATTTTTTTCCTTCGTTCGCTTTTATCGACGAATGATCGTTCTGTTTCTCTTCATAAACTTCAATAGACTAGCACAAAGGCTTGAATGATTGATATCTTCATTTGAGGTATTGAAAGTCTTATTAAAACTACGTGAACTACCGAATTCCTTTTCTGATCCAATATTTAAAAGAATTTGAAAGAGTATAATCTGGTCAATTTTTCTGATTATTTTCATTACAGAAAGAACATCATAGATCTGGATGTCGTACTGTTTCAAAACAACAAACCCATGAGAGATAAAAAGAATTTTTCTTTAGCACGTCGTTATTAACGAGAGGAAAGAGAACAGAAAGACAAACATTTGACACATTTGTCTACGAATATAATGCATGTGCGAGAAAAGATATCTCCTTATTTGCTAGATTCCTAATATACTGTTCTCTTTTCTGTGCAGAAAAACGTGAAGCAAATGCCGATAGAGATATATCTCTATTCGAATGCTAGAGGTCTAGTGTATGCTTGCAAAAATGCTTATTTTTGTGTAATTAACTTAGCTTTTGCTTTTTTTGTTATATTTGCTATGAATTTCAGTTCGTAAGACCCTCGGATGAAATGTTTCTCCCTTTACTTTGTACAATCGACTGCAGGAGCAGTCAAATCTGAAGGGGAGGATGACTAAAATTTATTGTTTTAGACAGCCTGCTGTGAAACGTTTCTTTTAGATATGAAATAATTTAAATGCCTTATTCCTTCAGAAGATCGAGAGCCTCCAAACAAGCGAGTAAGGTTTGCTGAGAGTGACACAATGTTAACCTTTTTTCAGATTTAGATGTGTTAGTTTCCAGCAATAATGAAAATATTTTTTGGATATTTCAAAAATTTACTTAGATAATGTGTAAAGATTCTCTAAAATACCTAAGAGTTGTTTTCAGTCTAAAGCGAAATGTATGTTCTAAAATTTAGGAGGAAATATGCTATTTTATTTTCTTGTAGTATATGGTAGTTAGAACATGTTAGCGATGATACAGGCTGCAAAAATAAATTTAAGGTCACGTCTTGTTGTGAGCATCATTTTTAAATGAATATTGTCATCATTCATCTTAAGAAAATGGAAATAGTTTTTTCATGTTGAAATTTTATCTTTTTATGCTTATCTCACAAAATAAAAATTCTTTTTTTATAATTGAGGAGCTGCATCAACACAAGCCTCAGCTCAAAATTCAAGGGTAATTTTCACTGTTGCCCGCGGCTATATAGCTCAACCGCCTGCTACAATCCTACACTCAGCGCTGACCACTGCAGCAACTACATCAAATGTAGCAGCACAGGAAGATCTCATCATATAAATCCTATCAAAGATATACAAGAAA